AGCCTCAATCGTGTGCAAAATATTCAGAATTTTTTTTTATAATTTTKAAAAAATATCTCCATTGTCTTCTGGTCACTTATCTCTTGCATTTGCACGGCCTGTGAGAATTCATTCATGGTTTTGATGCTAACGCAGCGTAGAACAGTTTGGTTAAAGGGTTTATTGTTCAATGCTCGAGATAGACTCTATGAGTGCTCGATGGGTTTGTTTATTCTTGTGCTGAAAAATCATCACATTGATCATGTTAAAGAATTATTTTTTTTTTATTTCATTATTTTATTCCATGTGTCTTATAAGGACTGTACAAATGTCTCAAAAAAGTTTTTCTTTTTTGTATAATATTATATTTTCTCTTTCATCGTTAACCGTTTGGAGCTAGTATATTATTTATTTTGTAAGTCGATTTTCCTTTTTTTTTTTTCCTGTCGATTATAGATTTGTATACTGAACTCTTTTTCCTTGATCGCGGTTTCCTGAGGTGGTACATGAACGAAAAGACGGAAGGAAGGAAGGAAGGAAAAGTGCTTGCGCACATAGGGACTCCCCAGTGCCCAGTTAGGGATACTGAGATCTGTTATGAAAACTACTTACTCTACACTCGGCGAAGATTGGTTCAACCGCAGTTCTTGGTAAGGTACACCAAAGTCTGGGACATCTAAAAAAATAATTGTGATTTTTTTTTTAAGAAAATATTTATTTTCGATTTCGAAGTTGTTCGCATTTGAAAAGCAGCATAGTAGACTTCTATAAAGCTACTTTTACATGTGTATTTTCGAAGCATGAATTAAGTTTTGAAATCTAGGTTGTTTTAGTGAAAATTTTGCTTGTAAAGTGGCAATCTCATTATTTTCCAGTACCGGCTTCCAAGTTCTCCCCCCCCCCTCCCCTCCCCATCCCTCTTTTTTTTCTTTTTAAGTGCGTTGTCACACATCAGAGGTGCATTTTTTTCGATTCTCTGTCAACTTTTGATTCCCTTAATTAAATCATATTTTCTTAAGAGATTTTTTCTCGTTTCGCCATACCATTTCTAATGGTGGGTATGCTCAGTTGCTTCAGAAAGACTTCCTTTACAAAGTCGTTTTCGTGTGAGCTAGTAATGGAGAGAAGATCACCACCTAACGACTGACAATAGTGACGAGCATCGGTCCAGTTCTTCTTCTCTGAAAATAGCTTGATAGAAGCGTCCCAATAACGATGCCATCCATTGCCCAGATCTGCAATCATTTTAAGATATGCCCATAATCAATATGTTTTGAAAAAGMCATTTCAGGAAGATATATCAGAACTAAAAAAACTTCCGAACGACTTCCGAACGACGGTCCTAGTCCGTCGTATTAGACTCGTTTTTCCGAAACTACGCACCTGATTTATTATTCAAAACCACTTTGATCACTTAAAACAAAAGATCATTGTTCGATGTTTAACACCTCGAAATGGACACCGAACAATAGGGGATTCTTTGATACGATTTGAGTGAGATACTCGTTATTCAATTATAAATTGAGCTCTCTCTGTCTATTTTCTGTTGTATCAAAACCTTGGAATATAATAGGGTATTTCACAGAAAATAAAACGGCAAAAATTTCTAAACTTGACGTTCATTCAAGTCTTGAAAGACTAAAGGTTGAACTAATTTATTAATACTAAAACTTTAAAGAAAATGTTGGCAAAAAATAAGTTATGTTTTG